GCAAACCAGTCAGCCAGATTTAAGGTTCACAATGCATTGTCTGCAACATTCTTTTTATCCAGGGACACCAGGCCGGGCAGCCCCCTGTCAACCCTTTTATTTGCATTGGCAGAAGAACCACTGGTAGTAGGTTCCCAGTATAAAGGGTTTTCATCCTCTAGGCAAAGAAAAACAGCTTTATATGTAGATATTGCATTACATTTTCTCAAATGGGTCAGATTATCAGATTGATATGAAGATGTCATTATGGTTTATTTTAGCCCTGATGAAGGGGCATTCTTAGGACACCCAAAATGCATTGGTCACTTTTTGGATATCAGAATAACATTGTATATGAACCTCTTAGAAGTGTAGTTGTGCTTCAGTTTCCATTTTTGTTACATTACACTACAAGCCAAAAAGTCCATGAAATGCATCCAGCGTGAAGAAGCTGTCTGCCAAGGAATCAGATCTTTTATATCAGTATCAGTACTTTAAAATAGCAATACTAGTTAGATAACCCTACAGGTCCAGTGCTGTTTTTCCTCTTTCCTGAACTAAATTTTCTCCAAGACACACACGAATCCTTAGTACACCTAACACAAATTATTTACTAGTTCAGAGACTTGTCCTTACTTGCAAACCAACTGGGACAAGTCTCTTTTTTCTTTTGGTGGTATTTGATCACCACTGGGTTTTTTATTTTTTATTATATAAACGAAAAAAGACAATTTAAAAAAAACCAAAACAATACTTTTTACTTTCTGCTATCAAACATATCCAATAAAATTTTTTTTCAAAAATCTAATTTCTTCATAAATTTAGGCCTAAATGTATTCTGCTATATGTCTTTGGAAAAAAAAATCCACGTGAAAGTCTGCGTGAAAGTTATAGCATCTATAAACTATGGTATACATACTGGAATTTGTATGTAATTTTTTATACTGCTAATGGTAGTGATAGTAGGATTGCGGCGGGCAATCTGACACTAACTGACACTGGGTGGGAACTGACTACTGACACTGAAATCACCAGTGGCACTAATACAGTAATCAGTGATAATACCGTACACTTTCTCTGTTCTAATGACAACGACTGGGAAGGGGTTACATCTCGGGGTAATCAAGGGGTTAAGTGTTTGCCTAACAGGTATAATGTGTGTATTATGTGCTGATTTTTTACTAAAATCTCTTCGTTCCTTCCCCCTGCATTACAGGGAGAAGAAACAAAAAGATTATCCACTCTATATAGAGATCTATGTTGATTGGACACAGCTGATCAGCAGGACCTACTGACAAAATCACACTGTCTAATCATGGCGGGAGTTGACAGGCAAGGGCGCGTGGTGCCCTATAACCAGAAAAGGCCAGTGACATAAAGGTATATTGCTGTGCCTGTATGGGCCACCTTCTTATAGTACGATGTGGGTAGGTGGTCCTTAAGTGGTTAAAATGCCAACATACTTATAAATATGCTATAGAGATGTCCTAATTTACATACAGGTATTGGAAGTCAATAGTTGGATCCATCCAATAGTTTGGGAGTCAATAGTTGGATCCATCAGCTCTATATTCTCTGCAAATGTAGACCAAAGCCATGTTTGTTATGTCTCTTGGAGAGAGTTTAGGAAAATAAATTTCTCCAGCTAGTCTTTCCAAGAATATTTTTTATTGCAAAAAAGTTTATTGTGCAAAAGTGGGTCTCCCCTCATGACCAACGTTGGATCTATGAAAAACTGTGCTAAATCACATTTAATTTTTCCCTATTCTCACCAAATTAATTTGTATGCAGCTTTGGTGGACAAGTAATTATGCAATTTTTATTTATATATATAAATTCAACTATGTGAGATCATAAATCATAAAGCACACAACTACTTCCAGCGCCCGAATGGCAAGCACTTCCATCCCCCGAATGGCAACAAATGGGCATCAGTTGGGAATACTCAGCTGATGAAGCTGTCTTCAGACCAGGGGATCCAGTAGACAACTATAAATAAAAACACAGAAGGGTGCAAATACCTAGTGCATTACCATAGATTTATTATATAAAAATGTGAAAGATAACAAATGGGTACTCACAAAGGTAGAAGATAAAAAGTATTAAGAATGCAAGACACCATCCAGTGCTGGAATCGCGTGGCCCCGCAAACTACCTCAATGAACTGGTGAGCTGAAGAGTTTCGGGGGCTTACTCCCTTCCTCAATGCTAGCCTCCTTTAAATCATGACTAGTCTTTTCCATTAGTTACTGCAAAATGATATATAGATAATGATATATAGGAGGTATATGAGAAGAAAGGGCCATAACCTGCGTTATTGGACACAAGCATTATTACCTATACATTTTTTCCCTAGCCTAGGAGAAAAGTGTGGGGGGGGGGGGGATTTCCTTGGTGTATATGTGGAATAATTTTTCTTCCTGCTGTTATTTTTATTGCAATGTTTTAAAGGTATTCTGGTTCCTTTCTCAATAAAACTTGCTCTGATCTAAAAAAATTAAACTGACCCCAAACCATTATGTTAACATATCTATAAGTGAATGCAGTTCAATTATAGATATGTTAAAAGTGCAAATTGTTCAATAAATCAGATGCCCTTTACAAGAAAAGAAATAGAAAATATAATCTTTTAATGGATTTTTATAATTCTGTGACATTTGATCATTTAGAGTGGCAGCCTTTTACCTTAGGACTGGAAAGTTTATGCTTTAAAATAATTGTTATGATGTAACCAAGTTCTCTTCACAAGTATTTGACAAGTATGTTTGTCATATAAAATTTCAAAAGCATAAAAAATTTTATGAATAACTTGATAGTCCACAGCCTCCTGCAAGATGAATGAATACATAGCAAGGATAATTCGGCAGCTGTTTAAAAGAAGTTTTGTCAACACATCTCTTGTGATTGCAATATTAGCAATTCAAGCATCTGCTCTGATTTCTGTTGTTGATTAATTACTTCTTATTTAAATTTGTCATGATTAAACATGAATGATAAATCTGCCAGCTACCTAGAACAGTCACTGTATGGTGAAGGCAGATTAGATCGCTTGATCTTCATTAAACACCTTATACAAATTAATGGGCTTTTTAAAAACCATTAACAAAATAGGCCGAACAATAATTACGGCAAAGATATTGGATTTTTTAGGCACAGTAAGAGACCACACAATAAAATACATACAGCCATTTATTGACATAAGAGTCATATACTCTCTATTAGACTCATATTACAAACATAATCCCAGAAAGGGGCCAAAAAAAGAAAAACATAAATAGTTACAAAGTGTCTCCCTCGCATGCATGTTAATCACTTAGCACATAGCTACAATAATTGCAAAAGGAAAAATCAAAGAACGGTCAACGCGTTTCGCCTGTGCATTTGGCTTCTTCAGGATCGTAAGTTGAATGTAAGGGAGAATAGTGCTACTACATGTAAAAATATACAAATGAAGTATACAAACAAGCACATAGGAATACATATAATAGGCAAAAATATTAGCTAGGCTTACGTGGAGATATGGCGGATCAGCGGTAAAGAAGTCTGGAGAGCAGGCATAGGAGGTCAGAGGCGGACCAAAAGGGGGACTCAAAGGCCAAATATAGTATGAAAAGATCCTACAATAGGAAATATATAAGACACCACCAGCAGGTAACATAAGTATCCCAAAAATACATAAATAAAACATATAATATCAATTGGCCAGTACTCACAACAGTCATACAAGCTGTCCACTTCCAGCAGGGACATATGAATCCCACATGTGCAAAAATGAAAAAAATAAAAAAAAATCACAAGTGGGGGCTTGTTGAAACATTGGTAGGCCTGCAAAATAACCATGTATCAATGAAATAGAATAATTAGGGACAGTATACTTGCCATACACAGAAGGGAAAAAAAACAACCTGTATGGCACAATAATAGTAAAAGGCCAGTATGCAGATAACTAAACAAGCTGGGGTCCCAAATACAACCATACAATGTAGGAACCAGATAAAGTGGCAAGATGAAACCGGCCAATGGTATAATAATAGTTAAACGAAAAATATTGCCTGTAATACAAAAAAAAATGTGTTTAGCACTAAGTAACTAGCCCCAAAAGAAAAAACAAAGCCAGTACTTCACCTTAGTATAGAATCCGTTCACAAAGAGGCATAGCAAGTCCCTATTAGGCAGCCCCTATAAAAAGGACAATAACTATTAAAGGCCAGTATATACACATAACCAGCAAGCCCCATGTATAATGGAACTCACATACAACAATATGAAATAGTACCTGCCAGGAGCACGAACAAATGTCACGCAGCACTGGATACCCCCACTGTGCCAAACACTGTGAACCGCGGCCCAGAACCAAGAAGGCACAGTGTACGCTGTGCCATCTTGGTTCCGGGCCGTGGTTCACACACAGCCTCCAATGGCACGGTAGGGATATCCACTGCAGCAAGGTGTTTTTTTCATGTTTCCAGCACAAAAACATACAATATTGCCAAAAGTATTGGAACGCCTGCCTTTACACGTACATAAACTTTAATGGCCGCCCAGTCTTAGTATGTAGGGTTCAACAATGAGTTGGCCAACCCTTTGCAGTTATAACAGTTTCATCTCTTCTATGAAAGCTGTCCACAAGGTTTAGGAGTGTGTCAATGGGAATGTTGGACCATTCTTCCAGAAGCACATTTGTGAGGTCAAGCACTGATGTCAGAGGAGAAGGTCTGGCTCACAGTCTCCGCTCTAATTCATCTCAAAGGTGTTCTATCGGGTTGAGGTCAGGACTCACTTGACTGTGCAGGCCAGTCAAGTTCCTCCACCCCAAACTCACTCAATCCATGTCTTTTTGATCCTTGCTTTGTGCTCTGGTGCGAAATCATGTTGGAACAGGAAGGGGCCATCCCCAAACTGTTCCCACAAAGTTGGGAGTATGAAATTGTCCAAAATGTCTTGGTATGCTAATGCCTTAAGAGTTCCTTTCACAACCCTTGAAAGACAACCCCACACCATAATCCCCTCTACACCAAACTTTATACTTGGCACAATGCAGTCAGGCAAGTATCGTTCTGCTGGCAACCACCAAATCCAGACATGTCCATTGGATTTCCAGACAGAGAAGCGTGATTCATCACTCCAGAGAACACATCTCCACTGCTCTAGAGTCCAGTGGCGGTGTGCTTTACACCACTGCATCTGACGCTTTGCATTGCACTTGGTGATGTAAGGCTTGGATGCAGCTGCTCGGCCACGGAAACCCATTCCATTAAGCTTTCTATGCACTGTTGTTGTGCTAATCTGAAGGTCACATGAAGTTTGGAGGTATTTAGCTATTAACTCTGCAGACAGTTGGCGACTTCTGTGCACTGTGCGCTTCAGCATGCGCTGACCCCGCGCTGTCATTTTACATGGCCTACCAGTGCGTGGCTGAGTTTCTGTTGTTCCCAGTTGCTTCCACTTTCTTGTAATACCACTAACAGTTGACCGTGGAATATTTGGTAGCAAGGAAATTTCACGGATGGACTTATTGCACAGGTGGCAACCTATCATGGTACTATGCTTGAACTCACTGAGCTCCTGAGAGTGACGCATTCTTTCACAAAAGTTTGTAGAAGCAGTGTGCATGCCTAGGTGCTTGATTTCATACCCCTGTGGTCATGGAGATGATTGGAATACCTGAATCCAATGATTTGGAGGGGTGTCACAATACTTTTGGCAATACAGTATATATCAAAGCTGAATTCCATGCAAAGCTAAACATACAGATAAAATAATGTATGTACAGTATGTGCCAGCTGTTTTACCTGTTGAATGATTTCTGAGTTTGAAATAACTTTGCCATTTCAGTCCTACCAATCAGGAGAGGTGGCATGTTTTTTTTTTTTTTTTTTGCGGCAGTTTCACTTTCTTTTACAGGTCTCATCTCCACCCCCCTCTTGAACTGGACAGTGAAAGAAGAAGCACCACACTCATGAAATCCTCTTTCTGTTACTCTGCTCTCCTCCTTTCAGCATGCATATCTTATTGGCTTTTTGCACTGCATCTCTCTCCCCCGATCTGAGGTCTGCTGTTTAGTAGACTGCAAGATCCTAATACTAAGTCAAATTCAGGTAGATACTCTCCTTGCATTAAAAAAAATAATGATGTGTTAATTATTGCAAAGCTGTATTATGCCTGCCTTTTTATTTGCCTGAAGTTCATCTTTAAAGGTTTACTGGGACAATTGAAAGCTGTACAGGGAAGATTTGCCCACAGAAGGCAGTAAGATAGGAATGATCAAAAGACAGATCATTGTACGCAACAAATTTAGGGGACACTGGCTGAACATGCTTATAGACATGGTCAATCACTGTCAGTCCTGTGGTAACTGCCAGAGGGTTGGCAATCCTGGGGATCCTGGCTGATATCATTGACCAGCTTTTGTCATGAAAAATATGGTTAATGACCAGGGGTGTATCATGAAAGCAGTGGGCCCATGTTCAAAATCAAAAGTGGGCCCTACACACTGAGAAGAAAAAGTGCAGTGCGCAAAGCACACCACGGCAAAAAGTGTCCATGGTTTAAATTGTGCTAAATATTTGGGGTGGCTTAAAGAGGTATAGTTAAATAGTCTGAGATGACTTGCATAGTGCAGAATGTGGTAATGTTAAATAGGGAATGTACAGTGCAGGGTGTACATCGGTGGGTAGTAAGTGCAGGGAGTACGGTGCAGAATGTATGACCCCATACAGAGTACAGAGTGTATGGCAGTGGGTAGCACATGCAGGGAGAGGGGTACAGAATGTATGACCCCTGCCCATACTATCCACATAATTACACAGGACCCCTCCCCCATACTAACCCCATCATTAAACACCGGGGATATTGTTGAGGATGGAGAGGTGGTAAGGGGGGTTATTGTTGAGGGTGGAGAGATGGGGAGGGAGGATATTGTTTAGGGTGGAGAGGTGGGTAGGGGGGTTATTGCTGAAGGTTGAGAGGCAAGAGGGTATTGTTGCACCCACGGATGATATGCCGTTGTTAATGACGTCACTCCTGGTGCTGTAATTACATTACTGCAGTGATGGGAATCTGTCATTTACTATCAAGAGTGCGGCAAGTTAACATTGTTGAGTGATGGGTCGTCATAGTTGATGAATATTTACATTACCAGGAGCCATGATTGATGAAGATGCTGCTGTATTTATTTACATTTTATGTTTTCTATCAGTGAGAAATATGGGGTACCATTGTAACCCTATACTCATTCCTGTAGAAGGGGGTGGACATCTGAGAGCCCCCTATCAATAAAAAGGGATTTTCAGATTCTTTTATGAGCCCCCACATCCTTTTTGGGGGACAGGATATGGGAAAGAGGCCCTTGTTCTTCAAAATTGGACAAAATGTCTTGCAGGGAGGGAGGAGGCTTTGCTGCTCCCTCTTGCAAGGTACCCCCCTCCTGCTGGTTTCACCAAACTTTTCAGTGAAATCCAATGAAGTCTATAAAAATGAAGGAACACTATCATCGTTTACACATTACAAAGAATATAACAGAATATGTAAAAAGGAAATAAGGACCGCAAAAATTTAAAATGAACGACAGATTGCAAAAGATAGCAGGACCAACCCCCAAAAATTCTTCAAATATATTAATAGTAAAAAGGTCCGGTCCAAGCATGTAGGCCCTTTACAAAATAATCTAGAGTGGGTGACTGGGGACAAAGAGAAGGCAAATTTGTTTAATACCTTCTTCAGCTCTGTGTATACAAAGGAGCATGGGGGGGCTCTTGTCCATAATAGGCATGGTATTGACACAGCTCCAGATTATCCACATTGGCTCACAATTGATATGATCCAAAAATATTTAGATAGTATAAAGGTGAATAAAGCACCTGGACTGGATGGGATACACCCACGGGTCCTTAAAGAATTGAGCTCCGTCATTTCAAAGCCATTGTTTCTAATTTTTAGGGACTCTTTAATGACTGGCATAGTACCACTGGATTGGCGTAAGGCCAATGTGGTGCCCATATTTAAAAAGGGGTCAACATCTTTACCAAGTAATTATAGACCTGTTAGTTTAACTTCTATAGCTGGGAAGATACTGGAGAGTTTAATAAAAGACCACATAGATGAGTTCTTGCTGAAAAAAAATATTTTATTCAACAGACAGCATGGATTCATGAAAGACAGAAGTTGTCAAGCAAATCTGATTTCTTTTTATGAGGGGGAGGCGGTGGACGTGGTATACTTGGATTTTGCAAAAATCCCCACACACGGTTAATGTGTAAGGTAAAGTCTACGGGCTTGGAAAAATCAGTATGTAAATGGATAGAAAACTGGCTAAAAGATCGTATTCAGAGAGTAGTGGTTAATGATTCGTACTCTGAATGGTCTAGGTGTGTCAGTGGTGTACCCCAAGGTTCAGTGTTGGGACCCTTACTTTTTAATATAATTATAAACGATATAGGGTCTGGGATTAAAAATCCCATTTCAGTATTTGCAGATGACACCAAGCTGTGCAGTGGAATAACGTCCTTTCAGGATGTCTTCAACTTACAAGCCGAACTCAATGCACTGTTTAATTGGGCAACTATTCGGCAAATGAGGTTTAATGTTGATAAATGTAAAGTTATGCACTTGGGGTCTAAGAATATACATGCATCATACATACTAGGGGGAGTACAACTGGGGGAATCAATACTGGAGAAGGTTCTGGTAGATCACATGCTTAATAATGGCATGCAATGCCAAGCTGCGGTTTCTAAAGCGAGCAAAATCCTCTCTACTATTAAAAAATTAGTATTAAAAGAGGTATAGATTCCAGAGAGAGCGATATCATTCTACCCCTGTACAAATCATTAGTAAAACCTCATCTGGAATATGCAGTTAAATTGTGGGCCCCAATTCACAAAAAGAACATTGGGGAACTTGAGAAAGTACAGAGAAGAGCAACCAAACTGATGAGGCATGGAGGAGCTAAGCTATGAGGAAAGATTAGAGGAACTGAATTTATTCTCTCTTGAGAAGAGGAGATTAAGGGGGGATATGATCAACATGTATAAATACATCAGTGGTTCATATAGTAAACTTGGTAGAGTTGTAGAGTTATTCACCATGAGGTCATCACAGAGGACAAGGGGGCACTCTTTACATATGGAGGAAAAGAAATTTGATCTCCAAACACTGAAAGGTTTCTTCACAGGGGGAGCTGTGAAAATGTGGAATAGACTCCGTCAAGAGTTGGTTCTGGCAAGCTCAGTGGATTGCTTCAACTAAAGCCTGGATTCTTTCCTAGATACACAGAATATAACTGGATACTAACAGTTATAGGTAAAGTTGATCCAGGGAATATCCGATTGCCTCTCGAGGGCAGGAAGGAATTTTTTCCCCTGCAGGAGCAAATTGGATCATGCTTTGCTGGGTTTTATAGGATTATAACTTTTTTTTATGGTTGAACTGGATGGACTTTTGTCTTTTTTCAGCCAGACTAACTAACTATGTAACTATAGGGTAGCAAATCTTATAATTTAATTATGGCCATTTGTAGGGCTAATAAGGAAACTATTGTCAAACAAAAGGCAAATGAAGCAAGCTACCAATGTAAATTTAAAAAAAAAAACAAACATACAGGTATATTAGATAGAGAGTCTTTTTATGTGGCTTCGAGGGTACCTTTTAAATACACAAATCGTTTCTCTCTCTGTTTCATCTCTCTCTGTTCCCTCTGGAACAGTTCCATTTTGATGGACACTCTGGCAGCGCATGTTTGTCTCCTGAGTTTTTCTTCTTTTGACATTAGATTGGCTTACATGCAGCATCAGCAGTACCCCAATTTAATTTGTTTCAGCTTGAAAAAAAGTTTTTTTAGTTTTAGCAGTGACAAGAGCTTTTTCATCAAGTAGCAAAAGTCCTGAGCATCCACTGAGACTATTCTTGTTTTCACTGATTCAAAACTGTCGTGCCACTGGCCAATTTTTGTCAAAATGTTATTAATTAGGAAATGATGCAGCAGTATAAACTTTGTCAGCAGCAGGACATTTTTTAATAAACATTTTTCAAAAATTCAGCTTAATGCAGGATACAAAAACAGTAGGTAGAATTTTTATTGACAGCTAAAAAAGTCAGCTTAATACAAGATACAAAAGCAGTAGGTAGATATCCATGACAGCCACAAGTAAACATAATGACCAACATTGCCAAAGTCATGTGATACTTTAATGAGGGTGACTTGGCTGAAATGTACTAGAAGAACAGAGTACAGGCAGGCATTTTATGACAAGAATTAGGAGACCACAGATGATATAACAATGTAATAAAGACCAGCAGTAGGATATTTTAATAGAGGGAGAGTTATCTAAAATCTATGCATGAAGGTAAAAAATCCTTCTCTGTGCAGCAGCCCCCCTAATACTCACCTAAGCCCCCTCTCGATCCAGCGATGTACACTGGAGTCTTGGTTATCTCAGGACTCCCTCTCCTTATTGGCTGAGACAGAAGAGGGAGCCATTGGCTCCAACTGCTGTCAATCACAGCCAGTGGGCCAATGAGAAGAGAGAAGGGGTGGGGCCGAGCCACAGCCTCATGTGTGAATGGACACATGGAGCAGTGGGCGCCTCCATAGCACGCTGCTTGCTGTGGGGGCACCCAAC